TACTATGACCCCACTAAGGTACGTGAGTGGGAAGTTACCACCCCTAGAAATCCTCTTGAAGACCTAAATATTATAATAAAAATACAGTTATGCTGCATACAGATCTCTTCCTGGGTTCCTCTGTCCATTTCCTGGAGAATTAGACCTCTCTGGCCTTACCCTAGGAGACTGACCTTGTAGGATTTTGTATCTTGCATCTTCCTTCCTGTCTTTTTCACAGTGAGATTCCTTTTCTTTAGCCAAGGGGCAAAAGTCTTCTTGTAATTGGTCTTTTGCTGCACCCACACAGTCTGGGACCATGGTCCTGCAGGGATTCTTCCTGGGATGTGATCTTTCTGGGCTGATATCCCACCACTTGAGGGTCACACTGGTACTGGGATTTTTTACATTCTTATTCTAACATTGAATAAGGTCTCCTTGATGACAAAGTATTTATAGGAATTTCTACTACTCAGTTTTAAACTTGCTCATGGAATAGTAGAATTTATTTTCATGGATATAACAATCAATATGAGCAACCCAGATGCATAGGGTACTACACTGCCTGTTCCTTTGTGGGTTTTTTTTCCACTGGAACTCATCCTTATCGTACTATAAACTCAAACTGCAGAACCTGAAGACAAGAAACAAGAGCACCAGCCAACTAGCGAAAACAGTCAGATTTTTCCCATACAGTCTCACAAAAAGCAGCAAGCTAAAAACTTGCAGAAATATATATATAATATTCAATGTGTATTGTTGATAAAACTATACATAAATTTGAAACGTGATTGCCTACCCTCGTGTTTTTAACTGATCTCCCCCATGCCCAGCTACATCAGAAAAACATCTACGATTAAAACAATATAGTAATGCTTTTAATTATATGTTCTAATTGACTTCTTTTGTGACATGGATGTGTCATACGTGGAAGGACTGGCATTACATCCCCAACTTCCTAAAAATAATGTATGTGCTCTGGGAAGTTATTCTAATGATATTTTCTAGCTAAGTCTTGTTTCCCTTTTCTTTGCAGGAAGAAAACAAGCCAGTCGGTGGATTCTCCCTCCGAGGCTGTCTTGTCTCAGCTCTAGAGGACAACGGAGTCCCAGCAGGTAAGCACAAGCCTCTAAACTTTTGTACATACATATTTGTGATACAGCAATACAGTCTTTAGGTATGTTTTTTTGTGTATGGCTGTTTGTATGCACAAGTGTGCTGGCCCTTCATTTCCCTTCACAAGCAGGAGAAGAGGCATGTCACAAATCCCTGTGCTGCTGGGTTGTCCACACCAAAGGGGACTTTTTTTAGCATTATTTCCACATACTTTGGGTGTTTCCAAGGTTTTATGGGCTTTTTATGGGCTTTTCTTAGTTATATGACCTCTGAGACAGTCCTAAGACATTGATTAATATTTCAGAGTTAACAAACAAAGAGGAAACACCTTCATTTTGGATGTTGTTTAACTCAAAGTTTTGAGGCATCCTCTGATGCCATCGCTTTTCTGCATGTCCTCTCTGCTTATGCTATTACCTCTTCCTTTTTGATCTGCTAGAATCCAAATGTAGGGGAGACATAAACACAGCAATACAAAAAACAGTTCTGCGAGAGCATATGCTTAGCTTAGGCAGTTGTTTAAAACCTTGGCCTCGCAGATGAGTGTTTCTGCTGTGAAAGCAATTTATTTTATGAGAGCAAGAACAATATGCGGATCTCAAATATTGAACATCTTTTAAAGAGAAGGTCTAAAAAAGCTTTGGTCTGGAGCAGGGGGGCATGATAGACAATAGATTTCCCTGCTAGGAGGAACCCAAATATGGGCAGGAGCAAATCTATCTACTGTACAAACTGCTAGGGAGTTCATCCCTCCAGTGTATAACTCGAGTAATAGTCTCCATCTAAAGAGAGACTACTATACATATGTTGCCTAGTGCACAGTAGTTCATACAATCTATGGCAGGAACGTCTGTACTATATCTTTATTTTCATGGAATCACAGAATCATCAAAGGGTTGGGGTTGGAAGGACCCCAGCAATCATCTTGTTCCAACTCCCCTGCCACGGACAAGCTCATCTTCCTCTAAAGCAGTTTGCTCAAAGCCCTATCCAACCTGGCCTTGAACACTTCCAGGGATTTTGCAGAAAGAAAATCAAAGATGCAAGAGCTTTAGAGGTCTTATCCATAACAAAAAGAAAATATTTGATTGTGTAATTCACTAAATTTAAATTCTTCCCTATGAAACTTCATATTTGCCAGAAAACCTTTCTCTGCGTACTGTCCTGATTTTTTTTTTCTCTGCAGGAGTGAAGGGCAATGTGCAAGGCAATCTCTTCAAAATCATCACCAAAAATGACATTCATTATTATATCCAGGCCAGCTCCAAGGCTGAGCGAGTGCAGTGGATTGAGGCAATCAAACCACTGACATGAGTAACGTGGACTCCATGCCAAATGACAAATCACATTTGTGACCAAGTTTTCTGCTCTCATTTTCTGGGAGTATTGTTATCACCTTGATAGTCTATTTCTGTTATTTGAATTATCATAACACTTAGCAATTCCTGGTAGACCAGCATCCTAGGTGTCTTAAAGTCATATAGACCGAGAATAATTCTCCACCAAGAATTTACCGTCTAACGAAGAGACAAAAGACAATAGGTGGATACAGACAAATGGGGCTTTACAATGAAATGATGAGATACAATATTCCAAGATAGAAGAAAAGAATCTTTTGTACAAGTATTCAGTTTATACCTGACAGATCCACATTGTGCTTTATCTTAAAGCAGAAATATCTTGCTCATTTCCCCTCTATAAAGGGGCTCATAAATTAATTAGTTAAGACTGAAACATCAAAGTCATGAAAGGTGCTGATGTCTGAGGCTGCCTTTCTTGGTATACCACACGAATCTTGTGCTAAGCCACAATCCAGCTGCCAGGATAATCAGTACTGCAAAACAAACAAGGGATCTGTCTGTCCATCCATCTGCTTTACTGTTTGGCTCTCTGTTAGACTTGAAAAAACCCAAAGCATCTTCCTCTCCACTGTATAGATTGCTCTTGTGCTGCTAATGATACCAGAGCAGTACAAGATCCTGAGTATCAAATCAGACCAGTAGCAGTTCCAGACAATTGCTGGTACTGAATATATTGGAAGAAATCACTTAGCTATAAAAGCGAGACTTTTCCTTTGATTATCATCATAAGTTCATTTATGTTGGAGAACCATTTGGACTGAGAATTACAGTACCAGATATGGCTATTGCTTTTTCTATCTTAGGTCATTAGTTCTTCCAGTATTTGTCTACTAAACTTGTCTTTGATATCATTAAATATTAAAAAAAACCCCAAACCCCAAAACCAGTGCATTTGAATATCCTGTGCTCTTTAGAGACATGATTTTTCTCAGAGGGCAGTTTGAATATATGAAAAATAATGGTTTCATTCACTGTAATTTTAGATTTATACATAAACTGAGACACCAGAGGGTAAAATGGTATGTAGGAAATTATTAAAACACCTGATATACTATTTTCATAAAATTCCTAGTTTTATCTTAGTACCTGTATCTGACAGCCAAACTCTTCAGAGCCTTCAAAAGCCCTCTGAAGGCAACATGCTATATCTTCCCTGAAGTCACAGAGGAATTTGATAGCTCTCTGTCCACAGTTCCATCTCTTTGCAGATTTTATGTTCTCCAAGTTGTGTACTAAAAAAAAGTCTCATCACCAAAGGTAGCATATGATATATGCTTATATATTTATTAGAATAGCCATGTATGTAGGACTTTCTTCAAAAGCTACAGCAATAAAATAACTGCACAATGCTTACATGTGTTCAAATATTTAACAGAGTTTATTTAAAGAAGTTTGCCAGCAAAGATGCAGTTTTAATTAGATACAAAAGTGGGCAATGCAGTTTCAGCTACAGATACATTTCCTAGGCCTGGTCCAGAGAAGACTGTGAAATCCACAGCTGTTGAAACCCTTCAACTCAGGAAAAGCTACCTGGAAGAGACAGGGATGTTGATAAGGAATTTATTGCTCTGTACTCGGAAGCCCAAATGGCTTTGTGTTGATTGAGCAGAGCTTCCAGAAAAAGCAATTCCCTCCTGACAATGTGAGCCTTGCTGGGGACCATCAGATTCCCTTACTGACTTACAAGAAAATCTCCTGCTTCTCTTTTCTCAGTCCCATTACCTGCATAATGCCCAGTTCTAGTCACAAGGCTAGCAGCCACCCCACTGCAGAGGACTGAGCTCTGTCACCTGGCATGCATGGGAGATTAAGGAATCATAAGGATGTGAGATACTGCATAGCATCTTGCAGTTTGGGAGGCCAAAAGTGTATCTCAGCAACAAGTCTCAGATTTACCCAGACTAGCCATAGCTCTGCAATTGCTGACTGTGTATGAGAAAAAAAGCTTATATCTCAAACGCATCAGCAAATTAAAAAAATATAGTTCCCACTCTCCAGAATCATCTAGAGGAAAGAGATAAAACATTTCTCAGACAAGAAAAAGTACATATTCCTCTGTTCCCCGGTGATATTGAGGTCTCCTCTTTTCAAGCCACTTTGGTAAGCTTGATGTCCCCTGAGATCTGCAAAACTTTAACCAAGTTCAGAGGCTGAATGCGGTGAGTGAAGTCACAGAGCTGCCGTCCATCAAGCAGGACTCGTATTTGCTGGTGTTCACATAAGAGCTCCATCTGCAATGGAAAATGACAGGGGAGGGTGTTAGAGGTCAGCAGCAGGGTTGATTTCACCAGCATGGACTTCTCCAGTTGTTATGGGGGGAGTGAAGCACAGAGTCTACCATTTCTTCTGAAATCCCCTAATAAATAACTTACCCTCTGCTGAGATGATACTGCAAAGCTCCTTGCAGGGAGTACTCTCACTAAGATTAGAGAAAGGAATGCATCTCTCCCATCAGGGCTTGAACTGTTGCTGTCTGTGCCATACTAGACTAGTTAACCTGGCAATGTCAGTAGTTAGCTATTTTTGGTCACATAGCCTTCAGCCTTTCTCCCCTCCTTTTCTCTACTGTACTCATAGTACCAAAAAATTACCTTGAACGTATCGCCTGCTGTAAATGGAAAGTAGGGAATAGTCTTCTCTTCTTTTCCCCATTTCCCACCAATTCGTGCATTTCGGGTGATGGATTTCTCACTGAAGTTAACTGTAAATAACAGCCCAACATCTTTGTTTGCATCCACTGGATCACAGAGCAGAGTCACCGAAAAACTGAAAAAAACCCAGTTAAATGACTGGAACTTTCAGAAATGTTAAAGGACATGGTGAACATGACATGCTTTTAAAGACTACAGACAGCTGTTGCTTTCATGTCAGACTGGTTTTTAAATGATGTTGATTCCAACCCCCAGCAGACAACCAAGATGCAGGTTGAGAATTGCACCTCTTCCTGGAGGAGAAATGCCACTTGTGTGCTCCCTTCCAGTTCACATTAGATAAGGGCAAGGAGTAGAAAATCCTGTCAGGGCAGCCAGAAAGGTCAAAGAGTAAACTCCTCCTTAACCTTTAATCTAAGTGCAGGAAAACTAAGTAAAGCTATAAATTATTAACCTGTTTGATTTTCTTCCTCCAAAGAGCACAGACCTCCAAAAAAGCTTCTGAATTTAGAAAATAGGTAGGAGCGTGTATGACATGGTGAAGCCCCCACCAGTACCTTCACCTACCTCTTTGGGTTGGAGTGTACAATGCCTATGACTGTGAGTTTCATGGCTGGTCTCAGGCCACCCTTAATTTCACCAACATACTGCTCCACCTGCAGGGAACAGTGAAAAAAAATGACTGCAGTGGGTGATGCAGGTAAAGAAGTTTTAGTGGCTGCTTTGGTCACCTGATATACATTGGGTTTCTTTTTACATATACAAAAGAACTCAAAAATATTTCTGGCCTGAAGTACTTCTTGCACTCTCAGTATAAATTCTGTATTCTGGTATCTGAGGGAAGCAAGAGGGCTGCCATAACTGAGTGCCTGGTGACAAGGCACTGGCTGCCTGACAGGACTGCCGGCCCCCCGGGCAGCGTCCGACCAAAACTGCTGTCAGCAAGGGGAGTGTCTGCTGTCCTTGCTCTACCTGAGTGACCTGTGTGACAGAGGCTCCTGGAGGCCCAGCTCTGGAAACAGCCAGCACTGCCTTCAGGTGACTGATGCCACTCTCCAAGACCAGAGCAGGTACTGGAGGAACTGTGGTGGCCCACGTGCCTCACGAGGGACGGGACCCAGATGGCTGGTACACCTGGGATGAGATGGCAATGCCTGCTATGGTCTGATGACACAATAAAACTCATTGCAGTGCTCCATGCAGCAGATGAAAAGCATTGTGGCAGCATGATGCAGAGCACAGACTGCATGAACTTAGTGTGCCAGCTCGAATTCGTTACCAGATTTTGGTGGGCTAACTTGACACTAGCAGGCTTTACACCGGGCCAGGCAGCCTCTGTGCTCCACCATAAAAGTGCAAATCCAACAGAGATGCTGCTCTGCCACTGCATGTTCACCACACCCTCACAGGTGACTGAAAATCACACTCTTTCAAAGGTTTCTTGGTGGATCTACTTTTGTTCTTTTCACAGAGACCTGTAGCTGCAAACTCCACCCAAAGATCTGAGCTACATTCACTTTTTTCAAGTAATTCTCTAACAGCTTTTATGGTCAGTGGAGGAAATAATACAGGCCATAGCTGCCATGAAAATATTAAAGAGAGAGCTTGGAAACAAGTGATAGGGAAGTTTTGAGACTTCAGTTTCAGAAATGGCTCTAAAATGTAGATGTCAGAATACCACACTGCAGCATGTAATCACTCCTTATGCAGATTCACTTAGAAAGAAGCTGCTAAAAAACACTAAACGTTATTAGCAACTTGCGTAACATTGATAATATTCCAAGGCAATGCACAACAGACCCTGTTTTAGATAAAAAGAGCTTTATCGTTCCAGTGTTCTAAGGTAAAAATTCAGACAGTTTTGCTAGAAGATCTGCACAACATGCACACATAAATTTAAGACAAAAAAGTCTTGCCTATACCTCATTTCCTAATTTCAATATACTAGTTGTATCTTCTGCTAAGGTGACCTTATGCAATTTATTTTCCCGCTTTGATATTTACGTCCAGCTACTTTTACAGCTTCACAGATATATTAATAAACCTCTAATTCCTAACAAGAACAATATTGGAAGAAATTAATTAAAAAGTACCTTTAAAAATGACAGTAGTACTGCTGATTGTTAATAATGTACATTTACCCTTGCAGAAGTGGGCAGGTGACTCCTGCGGGTATGTTTTGAACTTTGTAAAAAAAAGAAAAGCATCAAGCACCTGACACGTCTAACACAAGGAAGGAGTCTGTCTGTAGGGAGATACTTCAAATTGGATAAATCAATTAGAGTGGGTAATAAGCATAAAAGATCCCAGGATAAATGAAGTCCATCCTCATACAGTTTCCATGTCCCACTAAAGCTCCTTCCTTGCCTAGAGAAGAGACAAGATACAAAATAATACCTCAGACTGAAAGTATAGGTTGAGAAATTGCTTGTGCAGAGCTGTGCCATAGCAAGCACCATCATTAAAGGCACAGGGTATCAGAACTCAATAGATTGAACTACAACGACATGGTCTCATAAGTTACAGCTCATCTGGCATGGCCGGAGAAAGTTCAGAGGCATGACTGCCCACACACCATTTATCTGCTGATGTGGAGTTGACAGTACAGGTGAAAAATACTCAGGAGCCGTAGGAGGTAATGGTATGAACTCCTGCAGCATCTTATGCGGTTTATTGGTGGGTCCCAGCATATGCACATGGACATAGCTCCCTTCCCGTATTTTCCGTTCAGGAGCCCTGGGGACTCGCTCGGTCACTTACTTTGGCACACCTCTCCTCTGTCATGACCGCTCTGCCTCTTACACTTGCCTCGCCGCAGCACTCCACGGAGGAGTTTTTGTTTTGTGCGTCAGGACAAAAGCAAACAAAAAGCCGGAATAAAGGGAGGATGCTGGGGGGGGGTGTCTTATCTCTGCCAAACACCGGCTGGACACCACCCAGCCCAGCAGCTGAGTCATGGCCCTCTGCACCTCGTCCCGCTGGGGGAGCTCACAAATAACAGGGTGAGAGGGCAGGGGGGCCCGGCCACCCCACACAGGAGCGCCTGGCCAGCCATGGCTGGAGCTGTGTCTGCACCTGTACCTACACGTTTTTACACAACTCTTTAAAATTCTGTGTGTGTGTGTGCATAACATACTGTATTTGTATATGTAATACATATAAACCCCAAGTCATTTATTTATTGATACCAGTTCTGTCTTCTCTCAAATGAGCTAAAAATAATAATAATAAAAATATATACAGAACTTGCAGAGCTATATATACACCTGTATATAGATGTATACATCTATACAGGTCTAGGTGGGTACATCATATATAAACACCTATATATGGGTGTATGCACCCATATATACCTGTAGGTATATACACCTATATATGTGTATAGGTATATATATGTATAGGTATATGTGGGTATAGATATGCGTGTGTGTATATACATATATATGTATATATATGTACCAGAGTGAAGTACACATACAGTATACCTACACGGTTATACAGCTATACAAGGGATAAATGTACGCGCCGAGACGTGTATATACCCCTGTATGCGCATCTTTCTCTCTGTGTCGGTGTGTACAGTTGTACACACGTACACAGAGGTGTACATCCCCACACGCCTCTCCCCACGACGGAGGACGCACGGAAACCCCGACGACGCCCTCTCCCTCACGGATCCCCGCGTCCCAACCACGGGGCGGAGCTTC